AAGAAATGAAAGCAATGTTTGAGGAACAAAAAAGAACAATAGAAAATCAAGGCATTGTTATCAGAAATATAAAAAAAGTCAAAATAGATTTAGTGACTATCAAATTAGAATAGCAGATCTTCTAAATATATGTTTTCATGCAATAATTTTTTTATTATTTGTTCAATTATAATTATATTAATAAAATATTTATAATATAAAATATTACTTGTTGAATTGATATCAAGAATTAAATTTTGAAAGCTTCTTAATATTGTACATGTGCTTGTGGAAGATGAATTAATTGATAGAGTAATTATTTACAATTGATTGTAATTGATTGTAATTGATTGTAAATGATTATAATCAATTATAATTACTGCAGATCGATAGATAATGGATAATTGATTATAATAAATAATCATTTATTATCGATTATTAATTATCGATGTGATTCGATTATTGATTGTAAATAATTACTTATTGTCTATCGATCTGCAGTAATTACAATCGATTGTAATTGTTTACAATCGATTACAATCAATTATTTAAAATTAATGATCATCAATTATAGATGTTCACCAATTCTAAACAAAAAATTGATTATATTCGATTTTAATAATCATCAATTATATCTGATTGTAATTGATTATAATTGATTATTAATAATTGATAATAATTGATTATTGGATAATAATCAATTATAATCAGATATAAAAATTTCCTGATGAATATAAAAATATTCTTATTTATATTATTATAAATCTATTATCTAATTATTCAATAATATTATAATATTTAATATTTTTTTTGTAATTGATATTTTATAATAATAGCAAAATCTAAATAGACTTGCTTAAAAAATATATTTCATTTTTATTGATAATATAGAATTTGTAAATATAAATAAAAGTAGTTATAATATTTCTATTTTTTTAATTATTTAAGATATATTTTCTGATTATAACTATTATTTAATTATTTTAATATTTATAAATTGTGCTTTTATATAATTTCAAAGTATCTTAAATACAGATTTTTTCTTTAATAATATTGAAAAATAACAATTAAAATTTTGTAAGTTACTATAATATTGATATTTCATTATTTAATTTAATAATTTAAATGTAAATTTAAGTAAATACTTTAGTCATAGTAAAAAATGATTACTAATAGCATAAACTAATAAAAATTTAATTAATCTAAATATAAGAAAATCAAAAAAGCAAAAATACAGAAAATAAATATCTAAATTTAGCTTGATATACTAAAAAAAGAATTAGGAAGACAATTTTATATATAATATTAATTCTAATTTTAACTCTAATCTTAATCTTATATTAATCTTTAACTATAATTTTTATTATCATAAAATTTTTTCAGATATACATAAATATTATGTAAATTAATTTTTTTGTTATTAGTATATATAGTTATATAATTAATATTATATATATATATTATAATATAAATCTTTTAAGCTTATTTTTCACAAAAATATAGCTAATAAAAGAATATATAATTTATAGTGAATCAATATTCTATACAAATTACAGAATGAATATTATAAGAAAAGAAATAAATTTTATTTATCTGAATGATAATCTATTAAAATGAATTTAAAGATTTCAAAAAGCAGTTCAATTGGTTTTTAATAAACTTATTTGTTTATAAACTAAAGATAAATATATATTTATAGAACAGGATAATCTATAAAGTATTAAAAGTTTAATTTTAAGTATCTAAAGAATAATAATTCATTTTTGTTCTATTTTAAATTGTTTAATATGTATTTACTAATGAAGTTATTGCAAAATGCAAAATGCAAAATTCAAATTTTGTGAAAATGATTATTCATACTTAAAGAATACTTATAAAAAAGAATAAATTCATATTAAAATTTATCTCTTGAGAGAAATATATAATAATATAAAAATATAATTCTCAAAATAATAAACATTTTTGTAATCAATATGAACAGCATGAAAAAAATTATTTTGAATACTTTGAGCAAGTTACAAAAGAAAAAGATTATAAAATATAGTGAAAATTTTCTTGGAGTTTTTGAAGAATTTGCAAAAAAGAAAAAAATATTATAAGCTTATCCTATAAATTCAAAATATAAATGAGGAAATATCATAAACTATTTTATATATTAACTATCCAGTTCATATACCAATTCTAATAAAAAATAGTAAGAAGTTAATTTGGTATTGATTTTTCTTTTTCTATAAAATAGTTTTCTGTATAATTGGTTTCTTTATACATTTTTCATGATACAAAAGTTAAAATCAATGTTCCTATTACTAGTAAAAATGAAAAAAGGAGAAAATCTCCAATTAAGAGAAATCCACAAGAAGAGTTACCATACAGAATAGAAGTAAAGAATAATCATTGAATTTTTCAATGGCATCCAAATTTTTAACTTTTATATAGGAAGTTGTTTGATGATTTTGATTTGATAATTGAATCGAAAGTAGGAATAAGAATACTAAATGTCAATAGTTGGATTTCAGAAAAGTCTTAAAGATACAATAAGATATATTTCAAAATTGATAGAGTATAAGAGAAAGGAGGTATTTTGACGAAGAGGGTATTATGACATCTCGATAACTAGTGATGAAAATCGCATGAAAATATCACCATACGATTCTTCTAGGCATGGCGAATCGAATGGTGGTATTTTCATGCGATCCCGATCGCTAGTTATCGAGATATCGCACTGAAAGTCATCATATGTCGGATTTTCACCAATTTAAAGGGCAATATCTCGATACCCTGTAATCGAAAGCACGTTAAAATACTACCATTCGATGTCTAGGCGAATCGAATGGTGATATATTCATATGATTTCGATCTCAGGGTATCGAGATATCGTCCTTGAAAATCACCGTATGCCAAAATTTAACATAAATATCAAAGATCTAATATACATGTACAAGGATAAAGATCTAACATACGGTGATTTTATCAATACTTAACGATCGGGATCGCATGAAAATACCACCATTCGATTCGTTTAGACACGGCGAATCAAAAGGTTGTATTTTCATGTGTTCCCGATCGCTAGTTATCGAGGTATTGCATGTTTTCTTTATTTCGTCAAAATACCCCCACCCTCCCAAGATTAGCATTTTGAATGTAGCACACAAAAATGATCATTTTTTCCTTATATCTGTAAAAAGTTTTCTCAATTATGATTTTAACTTCATCAATACCGATATCCCCTTTGCCCTTAAATATTGTTGGTATGGACACGCGTGTTTGTCACTAAAAAAGTGATAATAAGCATACTTTGTGTGTTTCGGCTGCTCTTGTAATGATTCTTGTTTCTATCGTTATTTCGTATTGCGAAATATCGAATTTTGCAAAATATTTCTTGATTCAATTTAATACATGTATGAGACTTTGCTACTTCTTTACAAGTACATGTATAAAGTATTCAAAAAACTCGTTTATTAAGTATCAATTTACATAACGATAAAGCTAAAGAAATCTTACTATTCTAATGCACAATTAACGAACCTATCGGTACCGGTACTATCTAAATTATTTTGAAGATCTAATTTCTCTTGAATATTGTTTGCATATGATTCAAATATGTCATAAACCTCTTCCCATTTCAATTTTAAATCTTCTGCATTCACTTCATTGATAATTTTTTTATCATCAAATTCTTTTATGCTATCTATTTCTGTTTCAATATCCTCCTGTTTAAGTTTAGCATCGTCAGCTAAATGTCTCCATAAATTTTCAAATTGTTTTACATTACCAAGAGAGATATCTATTTTACAAATCACAACTTCAATTATCTCACTTTTAAACTCGATTTGGTCAATTTCTACTGTTTTAGAATTAGCCTCCTTTTCTTTACCTTTCTTGATTGCAAATGTTGTCATGCCAGCAACACCAGCAACACCAGCAATAGCGATAGTTATGGGTGCACCAGCAATTGCTAATGGCACACCAGCTAACGCTGCAATTCCACAGACGTAATTCGCCGCTTTTTGCGCAAATGTCCATTTTTTGATAGATTCGTCCAATTGCCGACTTTCGGTTTGCAGTGTTGTTTTTTGAAATTTATTAGTTTGATCTTGTTTGTTAACATCTTTCGTAATATTGTTTAGTTTTAGTAGAAGATTGCTATATTCCTCAGCAAGCTCTCGAGTATCGTTGGTAATACGTTTAGCTGAATTTATAAGAGCATTGCACATTTTGTTTTCTAATCCCGTGGACGAAGAAGCTTCAATAAAATTTACTATTTTTTTCGCTAAATTAGCAGAACGTTTACTAATTGTTACACTTTTCACAAGTAATTTTTGGAGAACTTGGCGTTTGCTTAAAAAGCTATTAATGATATCGTCTGTTGCTTTGTCGCCGGTAAGAAAATCCATCTCGAACGCGTTGAGAGTATGTTGAATTGCATTGTCTTCAATTTGTGGGAGTCCTGGTATATCAAAAATCTTAATGCTCATTTGTTCGGGAGCTTTAATATGCATTTTCACTTGTCGTTGGATAGTGTAAAAATATAACGATAGCGATAATTTAGAACGGGAGTTGTTTCTTTGCTTATAATACCAATACATCCTGTTTAAGAACTTGATTATTGATTATGCGCAGCAGTATAATATTATTCTCTAGATCGGGATTTCTTTAATTGTTTTTCGATTTAGGTTTTATTTTATGCATTCAAACGATTACGTATGTGCTTTTATCGAATACGTAATTGTAATACGTAATTGTATAACCTTAAAAAGGAAGTCACGTACGTATTTTAAATAATGTCCAAGAGTATGTATCAGCATTAAGAGAAGTAGAGAATGACTATCGTTATGTACGTCTACGTAATACATGTAATACATACTCTTGGAACTGGCATTATCGTTATCGTTTCGTTATGAAAATGGGGGGAGGGTGTAGATCTGTATTCAACGACTCGGACAAGTTTTCAAAGTAAAAGCACCATTTGACCAAATCACATGATCAATTTTACGAAAGCGCTGCAATCAAAGTACGTAATGAACCAAGGACGAAATCAGTAAATGTAGCAAGTTAATTAATTATACAATATTCATAAATAGATTTGGCAATTTACAAAATGATAATGAAAAAAGACGAATTTTTATAATCGAAAATTTCTTGCTCTAGAATTGTCGATAATAAAAAGCTTGGCATGTACAAACAATTACGTACATACCGATACCGTCAAACTTACATTCTTCTGTATTTGGAATTATTTTTGAGAATAGAATCGATTCCTATCCCTACGCCTGACTATTTCAAGTGATTCTACGCGCTACAATTTCGCAAAAAGTAATCTACACGGTTTGGCATCTCGAAGTAAAAATTCATTTGACGTGTTGCTTGCTATAAAGAAATTGCAAGATAATTTGGACATTATTAAAAATTGTTGGGTGACTTTACAAGCAGAGAAACGAAACATCAACTATAAAGTGTAATTATTCTTTATCAAATACATTAGCGAAAACTCTAATCACGAAGAAGTAAGCCTAATTATTAAAGAGTGGGGAAAATTATATTTTATTTGAATCGTAGCCGTAGATATTAATAAAATTTTAGACCACTCTTTGCAAAATTTTTTTATCTCTTTGAATACACACAAACTTCTTTTTCATTAAGATTTTCAAGTTTGTAAGGTTTAAACTAAAGTTGGTAAAAATGTCAACTTTCGCCTCTTTATGTCACGTCCATATCTTTTACGATCGTAACGACGACATGGCGATAACAATAATTACTGTCACGGGTGATCGTGATTAGGCGTAATCGACGATTTTACCTGTAACAATGGGTTGGAGGGAGTGATTAGACTGAGTGGTATTCGTTCGTTTCTAATTCCTGTGCCGATATCTACGGATATCGTTCAGTATGACGGTAGAGAGGGGGAGTTTGGATGGGTCAGTTTTTAGGTGAGATGGTTTTGGGTTTTATGTTGTTATGTGATGGTTTATCGATAATATTCTTCTTATTAACTTCCAATCGTTGCTTTTTCTAGCTAAAAGCCTATCACAAAGCGCTTTTTCAATCAATCAATCAATATGTCGTTTAACAATATCAACGCCTTTTCTGGATCAAAGGACCTAACCACAATCAATTACAACAATTTTACAAGTCTAATTTACTTGGAGAAGAATTGTATGCAATTTCATTCTGTGTCTTTATTGACATCTGCGAGGACTATATATACATCTTTTTGATTACATTATGAAGTATTGTTTCGGAACTTGTTGCGTAATGCACTCTATTATTTAAGAGAGAATTTAAGATTGAAAAAGAAATAGAAAACAAAAATGAGCTCAAAAGCAAAATTAAGATAGAAAACGAAAGCAAAATTAAAATAGAAACAAAAGCAAAATTAAAATAGAAAACAAAAACAAAATTAAAATATAATTCCAAAGCGAAAATAAACTACCGAAATTGGACCAGACAGATTTTACCAAATTGGAAGATTAATGAAATCACTCTTAATCGGGTAACATCTGGCCCATCAAAAAGAGTCGAGCTTCTGCGAGATGATTAAACTCGTAATGAAATTTTGTCAATCTCTGAAACTTGTAGCTTTATTTGTGTGACACTTCTCAAATATTTGATAGTGTTGATTGGGAGAGATGAAATGTGATGTTGTTAACGTAACTTGGACTTTATGATTTGTAATTTTCATCAATATTTCTTTGGTGTTTTATTAAATAGTTCTCCAAGTTGATAATACTTCTAGAGTTATAGATAATCATTATTCTTGTATCAAATAATATTAGTACAGATGTGCTGGATTTGATGTTCCCAATCATCAGTTGGATTGAATTGATATACCAATTCAAGCTTGTTAATATTTCTTTGGTGTTTTATCAAATAATTCTCCAAGTTGATAATACTTCTGGAGTTATAGGGAATCATTATTCTTGTATCAAATAATATCAATACAGATGTGCTGGATTTAGTGTTTCCAGTCATTAATTGGATCAAATTGGTACACTAATTCAAGCTTATCATTAAACAAATTCCTAATTTCAGTTATAATTTTATTAATGGATGATGATTTATTTGATTTACCATCAAGTTGTTTGTCATTTGATTGTTATTATTATTATTTGTTCATTCTCACTAATTATAATTTGGTTAAAAGTTATCATAATGACTTTTTAGAATTGGTGCTCCTATAATATTGAACCAAATAGAAAATAGAAGTTATAACTTCTTTTTGTTACTAGTTATAATTTATTTGATCTATTTCTCTTTTTTGTATTATAAATAAATTCAAATTTTTATATTTATTAATTTTATTAATCATTATAATTGTATGTATGTTTAATATTAGTTTATTATTTATAATTCAGATATTAGATTTTACTTTATTAGAATAATTATTGCTATTTTATTTATTTGTTATTGATAACTTTTTTTTGATAGTGTTCTCTATTTGTTTTTAGTATTATTTAGAATGTTTTAGTTATATTTATTTATAATATTATTTGAACTGAACTTTATTGAAAGTCTTCTTTAGTAATTTATAGATAATGTTATTATAGAACCGACTCCATTGTAATTTAAATTTATTTTTATACTTAATATGTTATATTATATCATAGATTAATACATTTTTATTAATTTTGAAGAAGATGATTTTATAAAGTCTTTAATTATGATGTAATTTTGATTTTCACTGGATTTTATCAATATTTTGCTGAGCATTTTGAACTCTAATAAGTTAAGATAAAGATTCATTTTTCTATTTGATCTTTAAAGCTAACATTATTTTCTTGATAAGTTTCATATTTTAATTTGATGAATAATTCAGCTTCGCATCCTAGGTCAAGAAAAACAGTTTGTGACATGTGATCAATGTTTAATAGGTGAAAAAAGCAGCTGGAATGTGCATTGAAAATATCATATTATTCTAATGAAGTTGAACTATTAGATGCTGATGATTGGCTTGAACTCAATCAAATTTCATCAAAAACCATTTTCTTGTAAACAGCAAATTATCATCACCTGGTCCTTGTCATTGCAGTAGTAAGTGCATGACAATTCGTTGTCCATGTTATGCAGCCTCTTATCATGTATTTCCATGTGTCATTAAGGAAGAAACTGTGGTAATATGTAGCAAAATTAAATGTGATTGTTGAAATATTCTAATTTGCCAAAGTCCACATCAATCATTTCAGAATTTATATTTTGCACGTCATTTTAGAATTCCAAAATGACGGACATTACTCCCAAAAAGTATCGCCCGATTTAAAATTTATATAGTAAAATACATATAAAAATTTTTTTGTTGATTTTATAATTAAAACAGTTCATTACATTTTAAAAGTTCCATAAGTCTTATTCAAAAATACAATTGATTATCTTTAAAATGATATAAAATTTATATAACTTGAAATTTTCAATTTTCATATATATAAAGCGTGGGAAAAATTTTTTTATTTTTCAATCAAAACATTTTAAGATGTCACAACTCTTGTATTATTTTTTCAAAAATACAATCAATCAGCTTTAAAATGAAATAATTATATATAAAAAATTTACATTTTTTTATGTTATATAATTTTTGGACCGGGCGTTACTTTTTGGGGTTCTGTTCTTCATTTTGGAATCGAAACGATGCACTTCAATTCGGAGTTTACGTGAACTCCAAACGACGTATAGCGGTCACGTAATTTTTTGAATTACATCATTTTGGAATCCCGAAACAACATACGTTAATTCGTAATTGATGTGAATTCTGAAATGACGTATAACAAGGTTTAAACTACTGTACGTATCGGTATATATCGATATACGTACGCAGTCCGCAAATCGGTTTATTAAATAAGTCTTGCAAGTCAGCTTACTAAAATTGTCAAATAATTTATTACGAAACAACAATAACGATAATGATAACAATAATGGTAACGATAAATTGATGTACATGTAATACGTAATGAGGTTAATCGTTTTATAACGGGTTTTGAACCGCGGTCTTTGAACTAGTCCAAAGAATGTTCTATGATCCATAATTGATTAGGTTCAATTAAGTTCAAAATACACTTTGTTGGAACTGGAACCAGACCGGACTTGTAACGTCCCTAACTGCTGCCAAGAAAATTTGTTTCGAAATGTCGAATTTCTGGCTGTAGCACTCAAATTTTAAGCACGCATCATCTCTGAATATAAAACCTTTTTGACTTCGCACAATTTTCTGCTGGATCTGAAACCTAAGTCCAGATTCCGGCGCATAATCGGATAAAGATTATCAGATTCAAAATTTTGTTGTAATTTCGTAAAGATTTGAATCAGTAGGATTAATCTGGTTTTCCCACACCCATCATCAGGATATTTGTCAGACAAAATCTCGTCATTATGTTGTGTGGGAGTTTATATAAATGTAAAGCAATCTGAGAAAGCTGGTTTAATAATATCGATATATTAACGTTGATGAAGCAATGGAACAAACTATTATTCTGAATATCGGTGGTGTTAAAGTATGTTGTTCATTTAATTTGCAAATACCAAAACAGTATTCCATATCGATATGCAAATCAATTATTTTACTACATGTATATGTACATACGTAGTATGAAACTTTACGTTCAACATTAACTGCTCACCCGGATACCTTACTTGGTACGATGTTTGCCGAAAGAAACAAACATCTTCTAAAGCCAAAAAACGGGAACGAGTATTTTATCGATCGTAACGGCCATGTATTCCATTACATCATGGAATACTATCGTACGGGCGTATTGAGCTGGCCAACTAGAGATTCAGAAGACAATAAATGCACTATCACACTACAAGCATTCAACACCGAACTCGACTACTTCCAAATAAAAGTAAATCAAGAAGATCAACGAGACAAGAACATTATCCTGCAACTCAGCAAATCACTCGACTCGTTTGTATTTTATCTCGAAGAAAATTTAAGTAAATACATGGAAAATATGGAGCCTGAGATTTGGCTTAAAATTACGCCAGATGCGGAGCCGAAGTTTTGGACAAAAAATTTAGGATGGGTTCCGTCGCCATTTACTACATGCAAATCTTTAACGTACCAATTAATGAAGAAATTTTATAAAGAGATTTACGAGCACTTAACTACAACCTTTAAAGGAACAGATATTGAAAAGAAATCCCAGAATAATGATAATCATGTAGAGATCATATTTACTCCGAAGTATGATCTTGTTGCAATTTTGAGTTTAGCAAATTTGAAAAAAAAATAACAAGGAACGTTCGGATGAATTTGTTTTATAATTCAATTTTTAGTTTATTTTTATGTCTTGAGAATTGATTTTTCTCTAAATATTGCTTATTAGAAAATCTACTTTGCGTTTTATCTTGACCTTTCAGGCCAAAAATTTCAGCAAAAATAATTACAATCTGCTTAATAAAGCACTCAGTATACCGAAATCACCTTTTCGATTAAATACCACAGTTCCTCATTTGCGCGCGCGTCTTGAAATAGGAAATTCTAAAATACACGATATAATATACATATATTTCTATAAGAGATCATTATCTATGGGATTTTGTAAATGATAATCTTATTACGTAGTTCAAAAATCTTAAATATTGACATTGCGAGAGCTATGTGAATAAGCTTTTGTAGAAAACTGCATCAAATTAAATTAAATTAAAACGTATGGGCTGATTTGACTCCCAAACTAATTTAGGGCCAGTTTTGGCTGGAGTTAAATCGGTTATGGAGTCAAATCCGCCCATATCGATATGAAAAACTCAATAGCGAAAAGATGATCTGCATGCTTAGAAATTTTTTTAATTTATAAAATAGAAATGCTATCCAATTTAAATTTTTCTGAATCATCATTTAACTTTGCAATTAATTTTGATACCATTTTATATTTTTCGAGGTAGTCCCAGTCATTTCGAAGTTCAAACTGATATACATAAATATATAAACTTGACAAGTATTTAATTTTAATTAATGTAATATAAAAAAATAATAAAATAAGCTTCAGAGAAATAAGATCCAATACTAGGTCCCTACTAAGTGACTCTTAAGAGTACCCTGTTCGAGTATGATCTATTAAGCGATTCTCATCGAGTTCATTGAGAATACCCCGTTCGACAACCAGATCTGGCCTACTAAGTGACTCTAAGAGTTCCCTGTTCGACAACAAAGTTTATCTTATTTATATTTTCATCATTAAAAAATTATAATATATATAAATGAAAGTAATACTTAACTCTAAATTCATCCTCTTTTTTTTTGTTTCGATCTGAATTATCGATTATGTTTTAATGATGAGCTCGTTCATCACTTCGTTATTAATTTGTTTTATTAGTTAAATAAAATATAAGTTTGAAAACTCTATAAGCTAACTTTTTCTAACGACAACATGATGATTTGAATAGACAAAACCTGAGGACAAGTTTATATAGCGATACTATCGTGGGTAAATTGTTTTTATGAAAAGAATGTTATTCATTCGCCACCATCGTCATGGGTAAATTCTTAAAAGTCGTGAGCAAATCATATGATAGATATATATTACATGTATAATTAATTCCCTGAAAAAATTACATGTATTATGTACGTATATGATCATAGTTGTATCACAAAATTTATTTATTACGTGTACATGATGGTAGTGAGAAAGACTTAACCGCTGGTTACCTTAAGAATGACTCGTACTGCACCATTGCAACTAACGTAAGTTGTATGGTGCATAACATTTAAAGTTATCAAACGTTTGTATTTTATAAAATGTGTAAACTTCTCAATTAAAAAGCAAATACAAAATTTAATCCGTGAATATGCTCAGAAAGTGACTATTCTATCATATTCACGGATTAAATTTTGTATTTAATTCTTAGTTGAAAAGTTTATACATTTTATAAAATACAAATTTTTGATGACTTTAGATGTTATGCACTATAGCAAGTAATATTATTCGTAGATTTTGCAAGCTACATTTTGCCTCTTCCAACAATTATCTTGTCGGGTCTGGCGTGAGTCGCATGAAGAATGGAACATTGAATGTGTGGGTAATACTGTCAAGCATAGTTCTAGTCGAACGTATTTGGATACGGAACTAGCCCTCTCATCGCGCTTTATGACTCTGCCACTGGTCAGTCACATGTCAAAATTCTTTATAAGTACGTTTGCCAACTCGAGACCTACCCAGGGAATGCGGATCGTGGTCAGCCTTTGTTTCAACAAGATAACACAAGACCACACATCTCTAATGTAGCTACCAATTTTCTCAAAGAAAAAAAGTTCGAGTGATGAATTGGCCTGATCAAAGCTCAGACCTAAATCCAATTGAAAATCTCCGGCATGAGGTCGAGAACGCAGTTTAACGCAAACAAAATCCAAGCAATCTCATTGATCTAGAAGCCTGGTGTGACATATCACCTGAATTTTGCCATCGATTGATAGATAGTGTGCCGAATCATGTCGATGCTTGTAATAAAGCTAAAGGAGGTTTGATAAAATATTGAAGTTTTGTCGAAACGCATCTCGAATTGGATAAAACGCGTCTCAGTTTGGGCAAACTGAATCTTATCTAATCCGGAGAAAATCAAATAATTTAAATCATGCTCTTTGATTAATGTGCATGATACGTATAATAATGTTGCATGCTAAATTATTTGAAATAAATATTTTTATCTAATAAATTGATCTTTAAATTCTCGAATTTCCCACACCTCAATTAGGAAGATTATCAAATTATTATTATTTTTTTATTTGCTGAAGTGTAGTTTTAAGTGTGGAAGTCTAACTAATGTACATGTGTAATATTAGCAGGCTTAGGATCCGATCTGTATACAATATAGAATTATCCGTAGTTCAAAAAGAAGTGAAGATGTGACTATTCACCTAAGACTGTATCAAAGATTATGAAAGTATAATAGATCTGATGAGAGTTTCAGAAAAAGTTTGTTGTTGTATGAGTTGTGAGATTTTATCATCACTGAGCTTGATATATCTGACTTGTGGTGGACAAAGATTGCTAATATGATCAAAGTTTAGATAGCTGCAAATACAAAAATTTGGTTGTGTGTAATAAGAGGATATTGGTGTTGAGTTCAGTGAGGTCTTGGGAAGAGAGAATTTTTTGTTTGGTAAAGATTTTGTTTTTCCTTTCAATTGAAATTTGAAGGTTACAGTGAAGAATTTGGATAAGTTTGTATACTTGTTTGGTGATTTATTTAGTAATGGAAACAACAACATTAATTGTATAAATGTTGGATTTCGGATGAATTTTTAGAAAGAAATTGAGATCTTCTGGTACAAAGTCTTTGAAGAGCTTAGTATAGTCTGGTTTTTGTTTTATAATTGTTTTATTTCTAAAACCCTTTGTTTAAATTTTTTTGTTATCCTTAAATCTAGTGCGTATTCATAGAAAGAACATAATAATAGAGAAAAATTTCGATATAAATATTTACACACACACCCCAATAAAAAGAAATCCCGAGTATTAAGTTATAATTGAATCTAGAAAGTTAAAAAGTCGATATTATAATATGTAAAAGACTCTAGAAGGATAACGAGAATAACTTATATTTAGAATTGTGTTGCCTTTTACTTTTTGTGGTTTTACAATATTACGAAAAAAAATTCGCACTTAAAAAATAGTGAACATTCTAAAAAAAATGAATAGAAAGACAGATTTTAAATGAAAATTATAGATAACAAATAGAGAAAATGAATTTTGAACAGAATACTCGAAAATTATAGAAATAAAAAAAACAAATAGTGAAACAGATATTAAACAGAATATTCGAAAGCTTATCTAAAGCTTAAAATTTACAATCAAAATAGAACAAACACATCTTCTTTTCTATATATATTTCTGTGTTAAAAGAGACAATATTTTTCTTTATAAACATTCCTGAGTTTACCAAAAAGACGTTGACATTATTTGTCGAATCAGTGTTAAATATATCTTGGAGTCTATTTTTATTTAATAATATACCGTAGTCATTCGTCGTGTTGCCAATAAAAGAGTAGTGTTTGCAAAATTGATGCCAGCATTTGCATTTTAATACTTGTAATTTGGTGAAGAGCTTGTGCCAGTGATAGAGGAGTTATCCGCAATAAAAGATTCGAATCTCATACTTTTATTATCTCTTTTTATAAACGATTTCATGTTTTCTGAAAAAAATACGCCAGCATTTTTTGTTAAGTTGGTGCTAATTGTCGCTTGGGAATCTTTATTAGTAGTGTTATTGTAATTATTTGAATTATTTGTTGAGCAACTTTTGCTAATAATGGAAGTGTTATCTATGTCGATAGGGCGTTGCGAGTTGACATTGCGATTATTAATGTTTTTACGAAGTTTTCCCATATTCTTATCAAGGATAAATACGACTTTATTCTCAGTATTGTCCATTGTACGACAATTTTTTTGTATAGAACTTCAAAAATACTTTTAAAATCTTGCGGAAGTTTTTCCAAGTTATTTGAAATAAATGGGAAATCATTATTTTTTCGGATGACTTAAAACGCAATCTTTTTGGACACAATTTCATAGTTTAATATTACGCGAATGTGAATTCTCCAAGGTTATGCGATATAGGAAAGCGCAATTTAGTATCTTTATTTGTCGTCATAAAATTATATAATGTTTCTTTTTCATCTAGCAACTCTAGTTCTAAATAGTGTATGCATAAAGGTGAAGCTAACATTAGAATAAATGGGAGTATAAATTTAACAATTCACAGACATGTTGAGAAAAGATTCGAATACAATAATAACTAAAAAAGATGAACGTTGCGAGAGAGCTAGTGATTATATAGTTTTTTTTTGCTATTTATACATTAAGTAAATGATAATAAAAAGAAAGAATGTTTCGCAAATTAATAAAATAATTGCATATAAAAATATACATTTAGAAACTTTTATCCTGCAAAAAGTAAAGGATTCATTGAAAAACAGATCAGAAATGCATATTTATGAATGAAAGGAAGAGAATAAACAATGCTTCGAAAGTCTGCATAGAATGTTTGTGAATATAACAGCTCAAAGTATAATAACATGTTCCCGAATTTTATGGTATTTTTCTAACCCAAGGGTTGCAGCATTGATTTTTATATGCAATAAAGGATTTCATTCTCCATAAATTGAGTTCATATATGATAAGAGAATCAATTTTGGTTAGCCTGAATCTTTAGTTTAGATAAGAGATAATGTAAAAGAAAGACACTTCATTTATCATTAAAAATTTTCAGCGGCAAGGTGGTTTCAATATATTAGTGCTTGAATTGGGACGTTAATGACGTCTTTGCAGATTCAATGTGCAATTAGTTTATTGTAGCTAAATTTTGCAATCTTACATTGACGATTACATGATTTTTGTAGATATATAATCAATTCCCGCTATTAATGAATTTGTGTATACCGTATACACCCAAAAATAAGCACCCCTTTTTTACTATAAAGGTGCTTATTTTCGAGATTTTTAAAATACATGTAAATTATCAATGACCATCCGATTTTTGTGTGATCTTGTGAAACAGAATGATTTTAGTAGTGATAGCACAGAGATGGTGCATAAAATCTAAAGTCATCAAACGTTTGTATTTAATAAAATGGATAAACTTCTTACTAAGAAGTAAATATAAAATTTAATCCGTGAATATGCTCAGAAATGGCTTATTCTATCATATTCACGGATTAATTTTTGTATTTACTTCTTAGTAAAGAAGTTTATCCATTCTATTAAATACAAACGTTTGATGATCTTAGATTTTATGCACCATAATATTGTGTATTTATACAATTTAATAAAAAACTATTGGAGGGACTTAATTTTAGCATATATATAAATGTGGGGTGCTTATTTTTGTGAGTATACGGTACGGTAATTAGCTTTAGAAAATTTTTTCAAGAAATACTCTGCATATGTAGCACAGCACGGATAAAAAATGTTCGGGCAACTAATAAGCATGCGCAAATTTTTATCAGCCCAGGCAAAACAAATCTGGCACAAGAAAATGAACAAAGTAAAAATACAGGAAACAGAAGCCCAAATATAGCTTGGTACACTAAGCAAAAATGTCGGGAAGGTAATTTTACATATAATCTTGACCCTAACCCTAACTCTAACCTTTAACAATAACCTCTATTTCCAATACGTAATTTTGATTTCCCTTATTAACTCCTATAGTATTTTCCATTGTTTCGTTGTGCTAACTATGGAAATTCTTTCAATTTATCTTTCAGAACCAATAATTTTTTCAGCCAACTTATTTTCGAAACTTTCTTAACCTTTAGTTTAGCTGTGTTTATCGTATAATCAATTCGGTCGGAATGAAATACGACAAGTATAAATGTTGAATAAAAGAAAGGACTTTATTGTAAATAGGTCTATTAAAAATGGAACATTAATTGAATCAGAAAATTTTTCTGCCTACGAGTAAGCTTCAAAATAGACGTCCGAATCATTCAATTCGAAATCAATAATCCGGATCTGAATGACTGGTATCAATTCGGATGGGTAAGTCGAATTACGGACCACTCTATTATTTAAAATATCAGATAATTTGAAGTATTGGATTGTTTGAATTTGGATTAGTTTGTCGGGGAATTAATAGATGGATTATAATTTATCTGCATATTAGTGTAAATTCTTCGTTCGAATTATTATTGTTATTGTAAAAAGAATTACCGCAAAAGTCGGACATAGGTACCCGGGGTATTTCCATAGAGGGGTATACTGTATTAATAGGGGTACTTATGTCGGGCTGAATGACCTCTAAGTTGCTTCCAAAGGCCTAATCTTCTTGAGCAGGACAACGACTCTAGGGTTAAACCTAAAGGTTTGTTGATTGGGTTTTTGGAAGCTTTTTCTCTTCGAATTTGTCTTGTAAAAATTATGCTGTACAACGCTCTCCTGCATCTAATACCGGGTATAAATCACAATTTGGCCTTTATAAATGGTGAGGTACATCCCATTGGGGGGGGGGTACCTATGTCCGCGGTATATTAGTACTTAGTTTGTTACGTTCTATTTGTTATTTTCTTTTATATAAGTCACAACGTCGTATGTGGCCAATAATTTAATATCTTACTCGCCGAAATGTATTCTCAGGTCTGTTACGTTGTAAAAAAACATCTGTTTAACATTACGTTAAACGTGATTCGAATCAAAATTATCTCGTCATTTTACAATCAGATTAAATTTGATAGTTAATTTATGTAGTCGATTGAATAAATAATGACATTCGGACCTCTAAATCAAAGAAGATTCGATAAAATAAACGATTCAATAAAAGGGCGTTTGAATTTTATGATTCGCTACAAGCAGGGATGGAAATCTGATCTGTGATGTACTCATATAATTAGAAAGCTTTAAAAGTACATGTATAAATGGGAATAGCCAATCACTACGATCTAATAGTGCATACCCATATGTTCTCATTAAGAAACTTTGTTAGAAGAAATGTTCTCAAATGAAAGGTACTGTTCTCATGAGAACACTGAGAACATAGATTCTATCACTGGGCTACAAACATGCAAAAGTTGCGAGACATTCCTTATGACGAATGATCAACTAAATGCTTGTCATATGAATATTTCAATTTGAAAAAATGTATCAAGTTTCCGAGATAATTTCACACACACGACATGCGCAAATTGATATACGTATAATACATGCTAAAATATAGCAAATAATCCACCAATAAGCTAAGACAGACTATTTAATAATGTTGTTTGTAACGTTCAGGTGATTTCCCATTACCGAAATTTATTTGCATTGAACTCCTGCACTTGCTGTTCCATGTTTTGAGCACAAACTTTGGTTATAAAAGTTTATTCACTAATTACTAAATTTAAGATATCTAAAGATTCTTAACTGATATGTGAATTGCTTTCATTCACTAGACCTCATTTACACAATTACTGAGAATAGAAAGTACGCAGCAGCCTCCCTAAACAATCCTCTTATAGACCGTGTATTTATAAAGGGCGTGCATTTGGAGGATAAATATTGGAGCCGGGTCAGAACGTGTATTTAGGGAGTATATACTTATAGAGGGTATCATTCTCATATTTTATAAATGAAAATGTTTATCTTTGGTCAAAATCAATTACCCTTTCGGGGAATGTTATTTATCTTTCTCATATGAAAGTTTGACAAATTTCTTGCTTTGTCATTTTGGTTTATGTATATACTTTCAAACTTTAAGCTTCAAATTTTTCTTATTGCAGAGTGCGAAGAAAAGATACCTTCTCAGTGACCAGCCCTATCAAATAAAAAATCTAAACAACAATGAAATAATTTACTAATATATTGATCGTTGTAAGTATGGAATTTCGTGTGCTATAAGCTACAGTTACGTCATAAAAGAAATAGAGAATAAATTTGAGAAAGTTATCTCTCGCTGCTACTTCATGACAAAGCGAAAACGGCGCCCATTTTTTTTCTTTGGATCTTCGGTTACAATTCATGTGTATCAAGTTCAAATCGGTTGAAATTTTTTTCATTATTTTTTGTCATTCTTCCATTGTCATTGGCGCGTTTGGGAAAAAGGCGTTGTTGAGTTCGAGAAAAAAAATGGCTCCCGTGAGATAATTGTGTTTCTTTAAAAAAATGCACTTCATGTACACTCTGCAGGAGAGATAACCAATATTTGATTTTTTACATGCTTGTGTGCAACTCATTTGATCTTTTTATGATTACACTCAGTATAAGGCCAAACATCGAAAAACATGTATATATAGACACACTTTTGGTTTCAATCGTTCTGTTCATACAATCAGTTATACACTATGTCGACAATTGAACCTTATATCGGTGTACTTTATGAACCTCTGACTGTTGTAATAATGGCTTCATTATGCATTCATTGGTTGGAAATCGACTTGGTAAGCGAGGAAAATAATCTCCACATATTTTACGAGACCGGTAAAAGAACGCCAAACTTCGCACTGCTATATCGCATGTCGCTGGAAATTTCCCGCTCTCGGTGCAAAAACATCTGGACTTGTGATAATGGTGATTGTTTATTTAACACTTCGAAAACCCCAACGAGAAAGAAAGTTTCCTTCGTTTTCAAAAAGACGTGGAATAAATTACCTTCAGAATTTCAGGCCATTTTTAAAAATCTACGCGTGAAAATACTAGAACAACGTACGAGATCGAAGAAAGATTTAACTATTTTATTTGAACCTCACGTCAAAAATCTTTCTAACGATGTCGAGAATATTTTGCCTCAAAGCTTCAGGAATGAGTCCTTGGACGGTAGCTGTTCTTTTTCACCAGGCACGAGTCGTTATATTCATAATTACCAAGATGATAACGCCAATTCATCCCACCATGCTACTGGAAATGTCGAAAATAATCGCAAAAATGATACAAACAAATTTCTAGATCCAATTTGGCTCCAAAGTCTCGAGATTGGACCCTTTTACAGTGATATTTCTTTTTTACCAAGTGAAATTTTTTTGATTCCCAATGTTTATAACACTTCAATAAACGAATTCAACACCCAGATAAATGGTAACGTCAAACCGTCTCATCAAGCTATTGGAATTGACATAGTAAATAGCAAAAGCTTGATAGAGTATGATTGTGATTACGAAAATTCAGAAATAATTATCAACCCTTTATCACTTAATACAGATATATTGGAACTTATAATTCAGTTTATCCAAGGAACTTTGATCAAAATCCAATTAATTGTCTTCAGCAAAAATCATCGTTGGAAGAGGTTTTAAATTATGAAAAGTATTTGTTGAATAATTAAGTAAACATTATAAATAGAAGATATTTTATTCTTTTATGATAACGTTTCTAAAAGCTAAATACGTATAGTAAATATGACTAATTAACAATAAATAATGTGTTTCCGTTATTTTTTATCATTTATACATTTTACATACACAGTCAACTCTGGTTACTATAACGTGATCTGGGACACAGTTTTGAGGCTATTGAAATGGCTGATAGTGTAGTGTCACTACTGTAACCAGCGTTGACTGTATATCAGTGTCAATTTCGTTTGTAATTGTAATACTAGATTCTTTTTATTTATCTTAAATTGGATTTTTTAATACAGTAATTGGGCTGAAAGGAATTGTCCGACTTAAACAACTATAAGCTTTGTTGTAAAAAAAAACCTTATTAATTAATGCGAGTTGGAAATTCATTTGACATCCTACGATTGCATAAACAATCAGAAATTTCTCGTCTAAAAATATATTTTCTTTATCAACTTTTAAGGCATACATAAAAATTTATGGCCAGAAACACAGCACTTCGATAAGAGAATGCTAACCATTAGTCTGAAACATCACAATCAAACAAATTAAAAGGAGTTCGCATGTTTCTTTCAATAAATTATTATCACAACAAGTAAATACTCTTCATTCAAGAATTGCCATTTAGTATACATTCTTTGTGATATTAAGTCATCGTTTGTATGAAAATTGCTTAAAATACAATTAATTAACTAATTTGATTTAGAAACGTTCAGCCTTTGGTCAGAAGATCAGTAAATAACATTAGCTTAACGTTAAATGCAATTCTATACGTACATGCTATTGTTCTAACGTGTGACTTCCTAATATGGATTAACAATTTACGATAAGTTTTGTAATGTTTCAAGCAATAATAGGAAAAAAATCACTGTTTCCAAGGAAATTAAAAAAAATAAATACTTTTTCATGCTAAAACTGAAATTTATTTCAAAACATCTTATAAATCTTCCAACTATGCATGCTTAATTTAGACCAATTTATAATGAAACCATTTTTATATTCAATTCTTTCCACTTCTATAATCGGCGTATTTTAATTCTTTTGTTTAATCTAGAGAATGAGACTAGATAACCAGATGAAAAAGAGTCAAATCATTCAAATGAGACCTCCGTATGAAACCAGATTGGATAAAGTATATGTATATTATTTGCGTCGAATTAATATAGTACAGTATTCCCAAAAGTAACGCTCGATTAAAATGATCTAATAAACATATAAAAAATGTAAATTTCGAGCTATTTATATGGAGAAAATAAAATTAAACAAGATGATAAATACAAAGTTGTGTTGAAATCATACATTGAAGTTCATAAACGAGGTATAAGCATGAATGCTTTTTTGTTTTCTAATACAATCAAGTTTTTCAAAAATAGATTCAAAATGTTCTAGATTATAGTGATGATTGTATTAATATTATGGAATAACTAAATTGAATTAGAACGAAAAATTAATCTGTTTAATGTTCCTATTATCTTTGATAATGCTCAATTACCTCCACGTCTGATTTATGTAATCGGGAAATTTGCGTAGTATTTCCCTAGAGATGTTAAATGAAAGCCATATACGTACGTACACTCAAGCTGCAGATATTTATATGTTTGGGGTGATGATCTTCAGGCAAATGACCATTCGGTGAGCGGAGTCCTGATATTAGATATACAATAAAGTACGTCATACGACACTAAATAATGTTCTTTGATGATACAAATTTATTATTGAAAAAATATTGGGATCCTACAGAGAAACTCTCTGCTATATCGACAGGGAGTAGGAATCGAATACTTTGGGTATTCTAAGAGTTGTAATACTGAAGATACAAACACACATGAAAGAAATAAAACTGGGAAAGCAAAACTCGTATGAACTTAAATACTGGTTAAATAAAAAAAAGAAAGAATATAAATTCAAGGAGAGTGTTACAGGAAATGATGAAGAGATGAAATTGCAAAAAAGCATTTCTACAAATACAAACGAAAAAATAAATCCGTCCAAATGCAATTTACACGAGCTGAATCTTTACTACAAAATCAATTTCAATTCCAACTGAGGTTCTTTTTATTTCTAGTGCAATCATGTTGATATTTCATATTAATCAAAATTACTATATTTTATATACTTGATTGCCATATTAATAAAAGTAGACGATGAAATTCGCAATAAAAGAAAATGACATCCATTTTTTTGTTACGTAACGGTAAGAGTGAATTTTAATTTAATATAATCATTTATACATGTAAAAGTAAACTAGTGCGGCTTTTTGGGGAATGAGTGGCAGAAGACGAATTAGGAAGATCGCCAACACCAGGTGTACGTACATGTACATGTACATGTACATGTATTTGCCAAAATAATGCTGCTGTTTTCCTAATCCAGTGGATTTTACATGTTTATCAACAATGCGGTTGATTTTACAACATAACAACTGCAAATTCCCATCATCATGCTGACAAAACAATAAGGTTCCTTTTTCGATATATAGCAGAAACTTCATTGATTTCCGCACCTTTTCGACAATTCGCAGCATTTGTCATCATCGTTCAGCATTCTTCTCCCTTCTCAGCATTTGTCATCATTTTACAGCATCCTTCTTGCATCTTCTCATCCATTTACAGCATCTTCTCATCAATATTTTCAATCCATTTCCATCGAAAAGTCCTTTACATGAGCCATTTCTTTATTGAAGAATATAGCATCTCTTACAAAACACTGTAATTGCTATAGTTATTATTGTAACAATTGATAAAAATTATAATTACAAAAAAATGTTTAAAAGAATGGCCTTTGGGTTGCTAATAAAGGCAGATTTGAAATTGCATACAATTCTTCTCCAAGCAAAATCAAACTTGAATTTTTTTGCGTACAATTATTCTTTTAAGAATAAACTATTGCTTGTAAAACTCTTCCCATTTCCTCTCATTAACGTTATATTGTTTGTTGGTTAGGTCCTTTGTACCAGAAAAGGTATTGTTTTTGTGAAAGGGTATCCATGTGAAATTGTGAAACCATTTTTGTGTGATTGTAATTAATTTTTAAGAGTTTTAGGCTTTTGACTAGAAAAAGTAACGATCGAAACCACCCTCTGTCCAAAGAACGTAAAACTCTGAACACCTACCTAAAATACATAATCTCTCTCAAAATCAACTTAATCGACGATATTTGTAGATATTAGCACAGGTTTTAGTTACTGAAATGAATTCCGCACAGTCTATTAACCTCTCCCAAAGACTTGTTTTGGTAGAAATTCCCCAATTCGTTCAAACAAAATGTCACCACAACATTAGGATGAGTGCTAGAAAATAAGGATGCATTGTCATTTGCTAGCACTCATCCTAATTATAAATATGCTCATTGTATACATAATAATGATAACGATAACAATAAGTTACGAAATAAAAAGTTAAGATTGTATTAAAGTAGCAATAAAAATGTTAATGTGCACAACTAGTGGCTTCAGCATCTAAAATTGACCGTAGATAGCTGAGCTGGCTCGAGATCCCAATGGCTGGCAAAGTCAGCTTGAGACTTGTCAATAGCTGGTCCTAAGTTTAGGGTGGTTTCGAACACTATAATTAATAATTTAAATTGAATACTATTTCCTTTTTTGTGCTATATATTATTTTAAGCATTAAACTCGCATTAGAAAATTCAAAAAAATACAATTATCTATTTATAAAATACGTAAACCAAATTAATGTTAAACTAGCTTTCTTAACTAAGTTTATGTCATGCTTTTCTTGATAAATGTTTTCAAGAAAATACATCGATATTATTTTTTCAAAACAGAGAGACTTTAATAAATTCGGTTTGCAAGTAAAAAACAACTTTGAAAAAACATCAAGCAAGCTATACGATTACAAAACCTTACTTTTCGTATTAAAATTATCCTGTTTTAGGTTAGTGGCAGCTTTTTTTACGAAAATTGGTAAAAGAAATTACAAGATTTTACAGACCAATTAAATGAACCAAAAAACTAAAGATAATCTGGACAAATAAAATTAAACTGAAAATTGTCTTCAGTTAAATTTCAACAAAAATTGTATTTCGAAGACAAAGAAAGTGCTTCCGTAGTCTTTTCTAAGAGATTTTTACAAAGTTTTAACGTTTAATTCATTTATACGCCTGGAGGAAAATAATAATCCCTCCGATATATAAATTGATATCAAGATATTATACTTAATTTATTGAAATAAGTATAGTAAGAATTTTATTCTAAATACGAATTAAAATATAGAATATTTTGGTATTTCATAAATTATTGCACCATAGAAAAAATTATCTTGACCCAATCTAAAGAATCACCTTCAAATGAGACATTCTCAATACTTCTCTCCTATCATATCTCAGTTCAAACTCAAACTCAGTGAAATCCTGATCCCGCACATAGTTGACCTTCAAACCTGTGAACGAGTTTTCGAAATGCTGCTTAATTTCTATAAAGAATTCAGCGGCAATTTGAAACGCGACTTCTTTTCCAGGACGAAACAAATATTCCTCTTCATCAAGTCCAGGATTTACAATAATAGAGAATTCAGTGACGCGAATTTTCAAGTTTCTTCTCCATTTTATCATTTGTTCGGTCACTCTTTCTTCCATGAGCTTGATGAAATGATTGAGATGTTCACTCATCATTTGATGAATTTTGTGCATGTACTGAACTTCAATTAGAAAGTAGTCGAGCTCTGTTTCAATTTCTTCTTTTGTTACCCAGACTTTTGATTTATTGTTATTATCAGCTTGACTGGGAAAATGTAGTTTTCCGGTGCGATAGTATTCCATGATGTAGTGGAATGCACGACCGTTGCGATCAAAGAAGTACTCGTTCCCGTTTATGGGTTTTAAGAGTGGTTTATTTCGGCTGGAAAACATGGTTCCGAGCAATGTGTTTGGATAGGCCATCAATGTGGAGCGTAAAGTTTCATACTGTAAATATTTTAAGAGTATTATTGTAAAGAAACTACACAATCAAATAAGTAGATTAATTAATACTTTTATGCCGCCAACATTGAGAATTACTGTATTTGTATCCAAATTTTCTTTGTTTATTTCAGCTCTTTTTTCTTTGCTCATTTTAGCATTTCTCTTTTAGTGAGCGTTTAAAACTTCAAACTAATAAAAAATTATGAAAGTTTGATTAATTAGACTGATTATTTTTATCGAATTGGGTTGATGATGACTTGTTAAACTTAAAAATTACCTGCTCAATATTTAAAATGACTTTCAACCCTTGTCTGGTCCCAAATATCTTTGCTTTGAAGCTCCTAGAGGAAAAGGCTGCTTCAATTTACGAATCTATCTCGGGACAACCGCCTTAGAACACTAAAGGTATAATTGACATTGTATATCGTCGAATCTTATAGGAAAAGACCGAAATCAATAAATCTAAGAATCGGAAAGAAAAGCTAAATTTAATGAATTCATCCCGAAGAAGTCTAAACTTTCACAACCAGGAATAACCGTATGACTAACAATTTGCATTATTTATTACTGCGATACCAGAAAACGTTCACACAAAAGTTGTCCGTGTCGAACTGGATTGAATTCTAACATCAAAAAAGTTATATTTAGACTAAAAATAAAGAACTGTGTTACGAAACATGTTTCTAAATAATTTCTTTAAAACTTGTGACAGATAAAAACAATAATAGATGTTAGTAATCTTTTTATTTAACCAATCATGGTATGGGATGAGTCATTAGAAACCAAGCGAATTACAATTCTATTCCATTTATATCTACTGCCTTAGAGAAGTATAAACAGTATGCCGGTCTAAATTCAAAATTTAGTTTGTTAGCACGATAAATTAGCGTCTTACTTATCATATTAACAGATATAATTTTGATTTAAAATTGCAGCTATTTATGGGGTGCAATTGTAATTTTCTTGGTTTCTACTTATTCACACCAATATGCTTATTTATTCATTTAGAATGTTTTTGCTTTCAAGACTGCTAGTGTTTTTAAAAACATTAAATGTGCCCTCTGGAGATACTAATAAATTATCTGTTCATTCTTAGATTACCAATAAAAATAGAGAGCTATAAAAACTCCAACAATTCAAATTTTTTTGATATGCATTTAAGCAAATATGGCTTATTAAAAATCTTCCAAAATTCACTATATTGAGAGTTTATTAATAAATTAAATGTATTGCTTTATCTAGCAGCTATATATTTCCAGTAAAATCTGAAAAAAGGTTTTGATCATTATATAAGATTTTTATATAATCCTCCTTAAACAAATAATTGTTTATGTGAATAAGAAAGACAAAATTTTACATTGATTTATTCATCAAATATGACTATAATTTTGTTTGATCATTCCGTACAATTTTTTTGAATTATCTATTGGTAAATCATTTATTACTTTGATTTCAGTACTAAACTTCACTATATAAGATATATCCTATTTTAAAGTCATCAAATATTTGTATTTTACAAAATATATAAACATCTTTACAAAGAACTAAATGCAAAATTTAATTTGTGAATATGATAGAATAGGTTATTTCTGAGCATATTCATGAATGAAATTTTATATTTACTTCTTAGTTAAAGATGTTTATACATTTTATAAAACACAAATGTTTGATGACTTTAGATATTATGCACTATATTTTAATATAATGAAAACAATAATTGAGAAATAATTGTGATTAAGTTTGATTAATATTAGAAGAATTGGTATTACATAATAATTTAGCATACAATCGAAATTAATTTGTACAATATTTGGAAGTTCAGCTTTTAATTTAAAGAATAAATTAATAATTACTAAGTTTGACTTCAAATCTCATATCTACATCTTGAGAAAATTTTTATTTATCTTTGTAATAATATTTTTACTGCTTAATTATTTAAATATATTATCTTAAAGTATTTATAATTAATTAAATATTACTGATATAATTTAACTTTATTTGAGGTAAAATATTCAGACTTTAACATATATAATATTTATATTTGTTTTATTAATTTGATTTTAGATCAATTCAAAAAATTATGCATTTTTAAGTATAATTATCATCAAAAATCAAACTCAAAGAATAAATAAGTTTTTTTTTGCTTTATTTTCTTTATAAATATAATATTTTTTAATTTATATAATTCATAATAGTTATAATTAATAATAAGATAATCTTTACTATGCAAATGAAGAGTATTACAAGATACTATTTCTCTTGTAAAATATTTATTCATTCATTATAAATTATAAGTTTTTATCTTTTTTTTAACTATCTCTTAACATATAAAATTTTACCATATTTACAAATTTAATATTATAAGTATCTTCTAAGGAATATTATTATATTATAACATTTTTAATAATATAGATCAACTAGTAACAAAATAATTTTAATATCTCTAAGAACTTTATTTATTCTCAAATATTTTATTATAACTGTTTTTTCTTAGAAAAATTATAAATAAAATAGCTATTTTATTAAGTTTTATAGTAAAGACTTTATTTAAATCATTATTACTAATGAAAATATTAATAATTCTAAATTTGTAATATAAAAGTATTTTATTTTACTATTATAAGTTTATTTACTAATTATAAAATTAGCTTACAAACAAGAATTAAAATTGAAAGAGAATATAAACTAATAAAGAAAATATTAAGAGAAAAAAGAGATATCTAAGGTCTATATTAATTTTTACAGAAATTATGTTTACTTGAAAAGAAATAATAATATGGGAGAGTTATAGGAGAGTAAAGATCAAAAGAGAGAGAATATAAAGAAATAATAAAAGAGATTTGAAAGAATAATTTTATATTGCATAAAGCTTTCTAAAATTAAAATAATATAATTAGTAATAATAATAATAAAGACTCTTTTATTTTGTTCTTCTCATAAGTAAGAAATATTTGTTAACAATTAAAAATTCAAATAACAAAAAGTAAAATACTTATAATCCAATTTTAATATAATAATTTGTTTAGCATAATATAATATAAAGCTCAATAATTCAATAACAGTGATTTATTCAGTACAATATGATCTAAAATCCAAAGTTAATAATAGTAATTTGCTCAGCATAATATAATATAAAGCCATTAACAATTTGATAGATACAATACAATATAAAATTACTTATATACAAGTTTTGAAGTATATAAAGAAAATATAAGAGGTGAAAAGTATTTGAGAAAAAATATTTGTTAAGAAAGATTTTTATTTTTAGTTACAATATATTAAGTTAAAACTCAGACAGCATCTTTATTTATACATTTTTCAAAAAAAATGAAATAAATAATTATAAAAATATATAAATGTGAAATAACTAATTATATAAGTGAAAAATAAAAAGTGAAATATTAAAAAAGTGAAATAATAAAAGTGAAAAATAAAAAGTGAAATAATAAAAAGTAAAATAATATATATAAAAGTAAAAAAATAAAAGTAAAATATCAAAAAAGTTAAAAATAAAAAGTAAAATAATATATATAAAAGTGAAAAATAAAAAGTGAAATAATAAATGTAAAATAATATATATAAAAGTGAAAAAATAAAATAACTAAAAAGTGAAAAATAAAAAGTAAAATAATACTGAGATTTTATTTTATATGAATATTTTTAGAATTTTTATATTTTTCAATTATTTTTAAATTTGTGATTTTTATGTTATTACTATAATATTTGTTTTTCCTTCAAAAATTTTGCTCTGCAAAATCAATTTTGAACTTGATTTTTATATTCATTAATTTCTTTTTTACTTAATTGATATATTTGAAAAGATATCAATTTAAGAGTAATTTGTGATAAAAATTCTTTGATTCCAAAGATTTTCTTTGCAATATAAAATGATTATTCACAAAATTTATATTTTTCAATTTTTTGATAAATAAATCTTTTCAATTATTATAAATATTTTTGATATTTTGATGGTTGGTTATGAAGTATTTTTTCAATTTTGAAATAATATTCTAACTTTTGTTTTTTATCTTTTCTTTAATGATATTGATACAATTATTTTCAATAATTCCGTAATTAACGAATCTTTTAAAAATAATAGAAAATATGAAAATCTTCAAAAATAGT